AAAGTCCTCCCTTTGGCAACCTGTCCCTTCTTGTGTTTGGTCAGATCTCAAGTGTAGAAGAAGGAGAATAAAGGGTCTTGTAATCAACAAGGGCAGACAGCAAGATCTAGTAGAGGGTAAGAAACAAAACATACTGCTTCAGGTCCAATGCCCTATGCTCCTTTATTTCCTTAACGGCATAGGGCGGTCCAGTGCTGGAAAGAGACCCAGAGAGATATATAGATACTGTACAATAACAGTAATGGAGAGAAACGAAGCAGTAGAGAGACAGAAAGAGACAGAGAAGCAGAGAAACAAAGAGAAACAGATGAAGAGCATATGGATAAAGGCAGAGATCCATGGAGAAACAGATTTGGAGACATAGGGAGAGAATCTCAGAGAAAGCCAAGAGAGTCTCTCCTGCTTAAACAGCTGCAGTGCTCCTCTGTTGCCCTTAAAATCCAAATACAACACCTTGACCCACAAGACCACACCAACCTCTCCAGGCTCAGTTAATAATACTGTCCCCCCGATTGGCACCCTATAGTCAAAACAGTTTCTTAGTGTCTCTAAGTCACCACTGCCTTCCACATATTTTCTTGCATACACTAAGAGATCAATAAATATATTTTGAATGAATGACATACTATCTTGAAGTTGATGAGAAGGCATCAAAGGATGACTACTTTCTTCTCTCTGCCTCAGGCTACAATCTACATGGAATATGCATACTCTGACAGTACAAGCATAGAATCAAAACCTAGGTCTCTGATCCACAGAAAGTTCACTGCTGTCTACCCCAAGTAGAATCCTGCTATCCTTACCCACATCTTTGTCAAAGAGGCCAGCCTCTTTCCCTGCCCACCATCTCTCCCCTCCCCTACCCAATGCAGCCACGTCCATGTTCATACAGAAGTTAAGGTGCGTATGTAAGGGGTAAAGGTCAGTAGCCTGACTGAGAAGCCAGTATGTATCTGTTAAGAAATTAGAAATTAGTTTTCTGTCTGTTAATAAATTAGTATCTAAGTTAAGAAATCAGATCTCACCAACAGTGTAAAAGCTGTTTCCTATTTCTCCAAAGCCTTGCTAGCATCTATTGTTTCTTGACTTTTTAATAATGGCCATTCTGACTGGTCTCATTGTGGTTTTGATTTGCATTTCTGTAATAATCAGTGATGTTCCTTGTAGATGCTTGATATTAGACCTTTGTCAGATGGATAGATTGCAAAAATTTTCTCCCTTTCTATAGGTTGTCTGAGTTCAACCATTGTGGAAGACAGTGTGGCAATTCCTCAAAGACCTAGAACCAGAAATACCATTTGACCCAACAATCCCATTACTGGGTTTACACCCAAAGGAATATAAATCATTCTATTATAAAGATACATGCACACATATGAACTTTGCAGCACTATTCACAATAGCAAAGGCATGGAATCAACCCCAATGCCCATAAGTGATAGACTGGATAAAGAAAATGTGGTACATATATACCATGGAATACTGTGCAGCCATGAAAAGGAACAAGATCATGTCCTTTGTAGGGACATGGATGGAGCTGGAAGCCATCATTCTCAGCAAACTAACACATGAACAGAAGAGCAAACACTACATGTTCTCATTTATAAGTGGGAACTGAACAATGAAAACATGTGGACACAGGGAGGGGAACAATACACACTGGGACCTGCCAGGAGTAGGTAGGGAGAGCATCAGAATAAATAGCTAATGCTTTTGGGGTTTAATACCTAGTGGTGGGTTAATAGGTGCAGCAAACCACCATGGCACACATTTACCTATGTAACAATGTATCCCAGAACTTAAAATTAAATTAAATTTTTAAAAAAGAAATTAGAGGCTGGTTGTGGTGGCACATGCCTATAATCCCACCACTTTGGGAGACCGAGGTGGGTAAATCACGAGGCCAGGAGTTCAAGACCAGCCTGGACAAGATAGTGAAATCCTGTCTCTACTAAAACTACAAAAATTAGCTGGATGCAGTGGCAGGCACCTGTAATCCCAGCTACTCAGGAGGCTGAGGCAGGAGAATTGCTTGAACCTAGGCAGCAGAGGTTGCAGTGAGCTGAGATGGCACCACTGCACTCCAGCCTGGCTGACAGTGAGACTCCATCTCAAAAAAAAAAAAAAAAAAAAAAAATAGATCTCCAGAAACAACTCAGTTAGGTCACCTTAGGTTGCTCATGGTCTCTTGGCCTACTATCAATTCTGTCAACTGCTCTTGACCTTAACTACAGACCCAACTCTGCTAATTGTTGGAGAGAAAAGCCTCCTATCTTCCCAGGATCATTCAAATTTTCTATAATTTAGATACAAATCCAACCCCCAGAGAGTTGGTTCATGAGATCCATAAAGAAATGCAAACTAATTTTTAAAAGAAAAATAAATAATCCATTGCTTATTGTAATCTGTAACAGCTAAACTGAAATTAAAAGAGAATGCCAAAGCAGATCTTAATGCTAGACTAAGTTCAGATTTTGGTGAGTGTGAACTCAGACCACTAACCTCAAAACCACCCCAAACAGAAAAATTATGTTGGGAACAAGAGAAATTATCTCTACAATCTCTGATCCAAGAGGGTAGTTAACATGAAAGAAGGTATATTAGTCCATTCTCACACTGCTAATAAAGATGTACCTGAGACTGGGTAGTTTATAAAGGAAAGAAGTTTAATTGACTCACAGTTTCATAGGGCTGGAGAGGCCTCAGGAAACTTACAACTATGGCAGAAAAGGAAGCAAACATGTCCTTCTTCAGATGGCAGCAGAAGAGAGAAAAAGAGCAAAAGGGGAAAAACCCCTTACAAAACCATCAGATCTTGTGAGAACTCACTCACTATGATAAGAACAGCAGCATGGGGGGTAACCACTCCTATGATTCAATTACCTCTCACTGGGTCCCTACCAAGACACGTGGGGATTATGGGAACTACAATTCAAGATTCGATTTAGGTGGGGACAAGACAAAACCATATCATTCTGTCCCTGGCCCCTTTCAAATTTCATGTCCTCACATTTCAAAACACAATTATGCCCTTCCAATGAGTCCCTCAAAGCTTTAATTAATTCCACCATTAACTCAAAGTCCAAGTTCAAAGTCTCATCTGAGACAAGGCAATTTCCTTCTGTTTATAAGCCTGTAAAATCAAAAGCAAGTTAGTTACTTCCTGGATACAATGGAAGTACAGCACTGGGTAAATACACCCATTCCAGATGGGAGAAATTGGCCAAAACAAAGGGGTTGCAGGCCCCACGCAAGTCCGAAATCCAGCAGGGCAGTCAATTCTCAAAACTCAAAAATGATCTCTTTTGACTCCACGTCTCAAATCTAGGTCAAGCTGATGCAAGAGGTGGGCTCCCATGGCCTTGGGCAACTCCATCCCTGTGGCTTTGCTCCCCTACTGGCTGCTTTCACAGGCTGGCATTGAGTGTCTGCAGCTTTTCCAGGCACACAGTGCAAGCTGTCGGTGGATCTACCATTCTGGAGTCTGGAAGATGGTGACCACAGCTCCACCAGGCAGTGCCCCAGTGGGTACTCTGTGGGGGGGCTCCAACACCACATTTTTCTTCTGCACTGCCCTAGCAGAGATTCTCCATAAGGGCTCTTGCCAACCCAGCAAACTTCTTCCTGGACATCCAAGCATATCAATACATCCTCTGAAATCTAGGTGGAGGTTCTTAAAGCTCAATTCTTGTCTTCTGCACACCCACAGGATGAACACCACGTGGAAGCTGCCAATGCTTGGGGCTTGCACTCTCTGAAGCAATCTGTACCTTGGCCTCTTTTAGCCAAGGATGGGGCTGAAGCAGCTGAGACACAGGGCACCATGCACCAAGGCTGTATAGAGCAGGAGGGTCCTGGACTTGGCCTAGGAAACCATTTCTTCCTCCTAGGCCTCTGGGCCTGTGATGGAAGGGGCTGCTGTGAAGACCTCTGACATGCCCTGGAGACATTTTCCCCATTGTCTTGGTGATTAACATTTGGCTCCTCCTTACTTATGCAAATTTCTGCAGCCTGCTTGAATTTCTTCTCTGAAAATGGGTTTTTCTTTTCTATCACATTGTCACTCTGTCTGAGCAGGAGTGAACTGAGGGGGAAGTACTTGCTAGACCAGTGTTGTTAGCTGCAGTGTGAAGCAACACAGTGGCTGAACCTAATGTTACTTCCAAAGTTGAAAAAGTTTGGTTGTAAATGGAGAACAGAAATAATAGCTAAGAGCAAAGCAATAAACAAATGGGTTTTGTAATGAGGGAAATCTAATATGACATCAATACTGTGAAAGAGTCTAAGAGCAAGAGATGGTATTGTTATAAGTTTCATGATGTTGATTATTTTATATGTTTTATCTACTATTATATAACTACCATCTAAAATGTAATAGGTATATAATAGGAAAGTCAGAAATATCTATAAGATGAAAGAATAATTGGGTCTGATAAAAAGATAGCCATTTTGTTACAATAAGGCCTCAGAATGAAGAAGAATCATAAGTCTATTCCTGTAACTGGGGGCCCAGAATATCAAGGCTCAAATTGAGAAACTTGCACATACACTCTTACCTTGGTAACAGCACCAGAGAGCAGTAAATGTGGACTTTGGCATGGCAAATGCTTTGCATTGGATAGTGAAAGGCACATTACACGTCAACAGTGGTGATGCTGAGACAGAGAGACAGAGCAATTAAAACCAAGACCTGCCAGATTACAGTATAAGGGTACATATACATTGCTCAAGAAGTTTCTGTCTCAAAATTTTAGAAATCTTCTTGTGACTGAAAGCACTGGTGAAGCTTGTAGGAAAATAGAACAAAAAAAGAATGAAATAAAAAGGCATGAAATGTACTACTTGGTATTTTATTTTGCAAGTAATGTGTTTCTTGTGTCTTCTCCTCCTCTCCCATTCAATTGCATTGTGTCCTTTTCAAGACAATAGCTATTAAGTTTATTAATTTCTATACCATACTGTGTCTAAATCCACAATGTGAAGAATTTAAGGCCCAATGAATGATTGATAAGGGGAACTGAAATCTCAACCTGAACAGAATGCAGCTTTTTCTCTCCTACTTTTGGCTTAGGAGGTGTATCTCCAGCTTTTTGTGATGGGGTAACCTTGTTAGTTATTCTGGGAATCCCAGGTCCTCCTCCCCAATCTTATCAGTGCTCCCTTTACCTCCTTGTTCCTTAGAGTGTAGATGAGGGGATTAAGAGTTGGGGTTACCACAGTGTAGAAAAGAGTGAGAAATTTACCCCATTCATGAGCATAGTGATTTTTTGGTTGAAGGTAGACACCTGTGACAGTGCCATAAAAGAGAGAAACCACAAGAAGGTGAGAGGTGCAGGTGCCAAATGCTTTCTTCTGTCCCACAGTTGACTTAATCCTCAGCACAGCCTTAGCAATAGCACCGTAAGAGGAAAGGATAATGATCAAGGGCACCACCAGGAGGATAACACTGGCTGTAGACATCTGAATTTCATTGTAGGTAGTATCAGTACTGGAGAGCTGAATCAGAGCTGGGACTTCACAAACAACATCATCCACCATCCGATGGGAGCAGAAGGGTAACAGGAGGGTGCCAGGGGACTGGATCAGAGACTGGGCCAAGCCAGTCCCCCATGCCAGGATAGCCAGCTGCAGACAAAGTTTTGGGTGCATGATCATGGTATATTGCAGTGGATGACACACTGCTACATAACGATCCACAGCCATGACAACAAGAAGGACACATTCTGTGGCCCCAAGCCACAAAAAAACATAGAGTTGAATGGCACAGCCAATGTAGCTGATGGTCTTTTCTGGGCCCCAGAAGTTAATCAACATCTGTGGAACACAGCTGCTGGTGAAACATAGGTCTACCAAGGAAAGGTTGGAAAGAAAGAAATACATAGGGATGTGGAGTTTTGGATCCTTCAAGGACACAAGAATTATGACCATATTTCCTGCAAGAGTCAAAAAATAAAAAATAAAAATGACCCAAAAAAGTATCTTCTCCAAATGTGGCTTGTTAGAGAAGCCCAGAAGGATGAAATCACTGTGGCTGTCATTGCAAATTATAATCATAGCTACTGGGGCAAATACCTCTCTGGGGAATGTTTCAAAAGTAGTTGCTCAAAAGCCTGTGATGGTTCCAGTACAGACAGGAAGAAGGGTGATATATGACTTGTTTGATTCCTCTCTACTCAAGGATAAGATTTTCACCAGCTGTATTTTGGGAAAAAATGCAAGATTTAGTGAAGTGCTTTAATCTTTGATATTCATCATTCACTCTCTCTCTTCCTCTTTTACATCTTCCTCATATTTTGTCTCTGATTAAAATTGTTCATTATAAATATTCTATAAAATATATGTAAGTACCAGCTAGTAAAAAATCACTTTGCTAAATATTAGATGTGTTCCATCTGTGCTCTCAAAGAGTATACATTTACTACATTTATTACATAGTTCTATTCACTACATATTAGCTTTATAACTCTTTCTCTATTTCTTTTGTTCTCTTAGTTCTCTGTGACCTTGTATCTTGATTTATTTCACTGTCTCCCATCTTTCCTCTCTTTCCTTCCCCTCTTCTCTCCCTGGATATTCTCCCTTTATCTTCTCTTTTTTCTCTCTCATTCACCTCTTCTCCATCCCTCCTTTTCACTCTGTCTCTTATTGATGAGCTTGAATTCTCCCTCAGTCACCTTTATGCTGTGTGATATTAGGAAAAGTGGTTAACATTTTTGTTCTTACCTTAGTTATTTCCTTAGATTTTCTATTTGGAAAATAGGCGAAATTAAAAACCTACATATGCTTGTTGGAGAAATTAAATGTGAAAACGGGGGAAATACTAAAAAGTGTTCTTGGCACAAAGTAACTGTTCAATGTAAGTTAGCAATAATTATCATGATGATGACACTGTTCAATAGATTGTTTCAGAAACCAAAATTTATTACCAAAGTTTTGCAGAGAGCATGAGTAAAAATAACATTTAGAAAAAAGAAATATTATATTTCTACATGACCTTCTTTGATGAAGAGTGATAAAGTATATTAAAGAAAACCAAAAGCTTGAAATTAGATGAAAATATTTAAAATAATTAACAACAATAATTGTGTCAAATAGATCACTCAAGCCATAATTCTAAGGAAAATTATGACATAGTCTGATATTTACTATTACATCATCATACATTGTGGTGAATTCTTAATCACACTTTAATGTAGTTGGAGCAATATGATGGTATATTATGCAATTACATATGTAAAATTTTTACATCAATATATGTTTTGCTTTTACAAAGCTTGCTGGAGGTTATTTTCTGAATATCCTAGCCCTGTTGTCTCCTATCTTCCAACCATATTCTTACCCACCTATGATATGTCACATATAACTTTATCAATACACTAGAAGCAAATTCATTTGAAGTTCTCTCAATCAGTAGTTCTCATGCTTAAAGGGTTTTAATCTACAGGTAAACCCACAAGTAAAATGTCACAGGGCATTAAGATGCACTGACCCTCATGGCTTAAATTTCACCATAATTTTACTCACATTTGTCTTTACTATGCTGTGCATTCTAGAACATCTATACATTCTCCTTTTTGTCTGTTTTTTGTTTGTTATTGTTCCTTTATTTTCTTTAGAATTTTTCAAATTAATGATGAAATGTTACCACTTTAGTTGTGAATTTGAGCTTGATATTATATTAGATAGAAGAGTAGTTTGATGTTTTAAAGAATCTCAGTCTTGTAGATTTTTCCATGTCCAGAATCAACCTGCCCCTTATCCCATCCTTCGATTTTCATCCACTTCATAACCACTAACTACTGATTTGTTTTTTTCCTATTCAGATTGCTTTTCCTTTCCCCATTTTCTTTCTTGTATATTATCACCTACAGGTCTCTACCTAGCTAGTTTTATATATGTATCCATCCGTATGTCTTACCTCTTCCAGTTCCTTTTAAATTACTAATCATTGAAGGAGATGCATTTTTTTTTTCCTTGATCAACTATTTATAAAAGGTCCTTGGTTAGGGGACAGAGTCTTAGACTAGATGGTTTTTACTACGCAAAATTCAAGAACACTCTTAATCTCTGCTTCTCTTGAGATTGTCTTCTTCCCGCAAATATAATTTTTCCTGTAATTTTACTTTAGTTGGCCTCCTCTGCTTTGCAGAACACTATCTGGGGGAGTTCATGGTAAAAGCCAGCACACCTCCATTCCTATGGTTATAAATGTAAAATACAGCATTTCTATCTCACCTTCTAAAGTAGGTGCCTCTAGTACCAGTGTATCACATCTCCTCAGCCCAGCTCTAATTTCAGCAGAGCTGCAAGGGACAGTTGTGTGTGAACTCAGATTCATTTCACACATACTGAGAGTGACCTACCTCAAGTATGCTGTATATGGCTTCCCTCGGCCCCAAGGCTTGTCTGACACTATGGGAGCCCATTTGGCTTGTAGACAAGTGCTGCCTAGAAGTACAAAACGCTTAATGACCCTAGGGGAAATCCTCCAATAATGAAGAATTTTAACTAGGAATAAATGGTCCAGAAGCTCTTCCTTCAGGCAAAAACATACTGTGTGCTTTTCAGAAGGTCTTTAGAGAACTGGACTCCCATTACACACAATCTGGCTAATGCATCCCTAAATTACCTTTCTTTCTTAAATGTTTAACTCTTCCTGTTCCCTCACTCGTTCTTCTTGTAATCACCTCCAAAATCACTTATTAGTACTTAATCCCTTATCTTAAGTTACGCTTTCAGGGGGGACCTAAATTAAGAGAGTTGGTTCTGAAATGGACCAAGAAATGAGAGTTTTAGAAGAATATTCAGGAAATGAATTACTCATCAGTCAGATTGCAACAGGTCATCCATTGTTGGGAGTAAATGGAATGCTAGCAACTCTTGGCATGCCTCAATATCACCATTACTCATAGTCTTACCTATTGTGGCCTGGGATGAGGTACAGGTAGAAGGAGGAGCATTGGCTTATATGGTCTTCTAGCCTTTGAAAGTTTTGGAAGTCAAAGTAATTAGATAATTGTCAAGTTGACTGGCTTTCGTTGATTGTTTTGGAAGTCTTGAAGAAAAATAACAGCATAGTCAAGTAAGCCAACTATCAACCTAGGGCATTGGCGCACAACTGCTTGTTGAACATAGATTTCTGGGCCCCACGCTCACAGTTTCTGATTCTGTAGGTCTGGGGCAAGGTCCAAGAATTTGAATTTCTAACAAGGTCCCAAGTGATGTTAATGATGATACAGGTTCAGAAACTATACTTTGAGGATCACTAACTTAATAAATGCTATGAAAAGAAAACTTTCATGACAGTTTTTAAAGAGATTCACATTTCCTACAGCCTTAGAGAAGGCTATTAAAAATCAGGCCCAGGACATAATTGTAAGGGTCATAGAGTCACAAAGGAGACAAAATGCACAGGCTCAGTAGACTTCTTAGGCTAAAACCAGGGCCCTGGTAGGGAAGGAATCAGACACTGAGACCTTGATATCTGTACGTTGTAATCCAAAAACAGAAACTTTCAGATTTCTCTGATCCTGCCAAAGTGGCAGAAGCAGTCTTCCCCTTGCTAGAGGAAAGAAGCTCCTGCTTTCCTGGAAACCATGCATAGCATGTTTCTTTCAAGATGATAATCCGTCTCAATATCTTTCACTGCCTTCATCCAACAACTCCTACAAGAAAAAAAAAATAGCTTATTCTAAAATTTCATTCACCGGAATAACATGCATTATCAGTAATCCCTCTTAGAGGGGAAATAGAATGTAAACCCAGATTTGGGAAAGTTTATAGTCATGGGAACTTTCTCCGGTGACTTAGAAATTAAACTCCTGGAAAGAAATGCTGGATCCGGTTATAGTATACTGCAGCAATGTCTTACTGAAACTTTAACACAATGATATCCACAGTAAACAAAATAGAGTGGCTGTAATTTCCTTAACAGGCTGTTGAGGTTAAGTGTCAGAAGGATCAGAGTTAGTAATTCTAGAGTGCATTTATTAGGTACAAGCAGAGGACCTATCACCTAACTACACTTCATGTGATATCCCAGAGGACATTCCCTTTATAAAAAGAATGGAAAACACACTAGTTAGAGAGGCAAAGTATCTTTCAGGGGCTTAATGCCCTCTGTAGACCACGGTTGACAATAGAAGATGCTTTCATGGAGCTGAGTTCCCTACTTTCAATATGAATGATACAATTTCACATAAACAGAGTCCAGATGGCAGCTTTCAACTTCCAGAAGCTATCTAGACATAATGAACTGGCTTGAATCAACAACTGGAGGCTAGATAGATATACAGACAGCTAGAAAGTTGCTTGAGTTGTGTCCCTGGGGAAAAAAAAAGTGAAAGTTGGTGAAATGGAAGCTACAATGAAAAAATAATGATCTCTCACTCAGTTTTTTATCAAAACCAGGTCTCATACCTAGAGACTCTCAATTAAAGAGAAGGGCAAGTCCCTTAACTTTGGAATGCCACTGCAAATAAATACAATAAATATTGTACCAAATATTTCTTCAAAGTGATCTGTGACCATTTACAGAGTAATTGCACAAGAAGAAAGATAAATATTGAGACTAAAAACTTTGGGACTGTTGAATATAGGGTCTTAGTTGACACAAATGTTGGAGCACATGCCATCATGACCTCTAGTTAGGGTGGGGACTTAGGAGAAGAGACAAATAATGTCCTGGCCTAAGTTCAATGAATAGTTAGTTCAGTGAGTCTGTAGACCTACCCTACAATGGTTTCCCTAGTCCCTGGATGTATCATGCAAATAGTTACACTTAAAAGCTGGAGAGAAAAACTCTCACTGAATTTCTGATAGAATAAGAACCAAGGGAAAACCCATACAATTACTCTTCATAAGCCAAGATCAGAAGCAATACTCCTAGAAAAAAATGCATAAGTTAGTTCGACTTTTGAAATGTAAAGGATGAAGAGTAAAAGGTGACAGCTCTCATCTCCAAAAATCAGAGGTACTATGGCAGGTGAAAGTCCATTGAACACATAGGCCCAGAGCAAAAGAGGGATTTGGAACAAGTACAGGCTAGGCTAAGTGCTGCTGTGTTGCTTGGGTCATACACAAAGTGTGTATCTAGTGGTGCTAGAGGTATTCATAAGGTAAAGACTTCACATACTGTCTCTGACAAGACAAAATAAGAACCACGGTGCAGATACTTGAGTTCTGGACTGGAGGAATGCCTTGTGCAAGAGAAAATTACTTGCACTGAAAAAGCAGCATGTCATCCAGCTTTTTCAGTGCAGTGCAATTCTGACATAGTGGAGACATTAAGTGATTATACAAAATGAGCTTGATATTTTCAGATCCACCAACTCATCTGGTCAGATTAATGCAGCAAAAATCAATCATGTAATTGGAAACTAAACATTTGGGATCAGGCAAAAGCATGTCCAGAAGACATAATTCAAAGACATAAACAAGTGATCCAGTCACCCATCACCTATGGCTGCTGCATCAGTGCTACTCTCTCAATTCACACCTACGGCCTCATGAGGTTTTTCAATTGACCAAGTGCTAGGGAAAAATCAAAACCTCAGAACTCTCACAAATGGTCTGTAGGACCACAAGTGCTGTAGGTTGTTATAAGCCATAAGCAAACGGATGCTTCATTAGAGTCCAACTTGGGATTCACTCTAAAGGGCAGTAGTGAAGGGAAATTCTTTTAGTGGGCATAATTCTACACAGCACACTTGATTGTCTACTTTGAATAGAAAGAGGAATGACCTGAGGTATGGATATACATGGGCTTCTGGGCGGAGGGATAGGGCTTGACTTGTTGGTTAGAGGCCTTGACAAAGCTCACAATATCAGAGACAAAAAGGTTTGGTGTAGATACATGTGAATGGTTCT